TTTCGTGAATTTGATATACATATATATATAAAATTAAAATTGGACGTTTATTAAATAAAGTTAAACGATCGTCATTCGTCGTTTACTTTGCAGGGAGAAATGGATAGGGAGCATAGAGATCAACGTGATCACGATAATCCGAATGAGAACGAGGGAGAGCGGAAAAGTGGAATGGATTTTCGTAGTATCTCGCATCATCATGGAGCGGCGGATCAAGCAACGGATGCCGACTCGGAGGTGCATTTCTTTCTTCTGTTAAAATCTTTTATAATTCGCAGTTTTTTTCTTTTTTTCTTTCTCTCCTTTTTTTTCCTCTCTCCTTTTTTTTGTATTTTTTTTTTTTTTTTTTGTAATTTTTTATTTTTTTATTTTTTTATTTTTTTTTTTATTTTTTTTTAAGAAAACGTCAATTCCGGTATTAACGTAGGGAAAAAATGTCCGTACTTGAATGTTTTTATCATCGCAAAGTGATATAGAAATCAATCAAAATGATCGGCCTGAAAATCTTCACGACGATAATTATATATTGAAAAGAAATTTTCACAATTTAAAACACCATTAAGCTATGGTACATCCCTGAATAAATCCTTTGCGTGTGTATGTGTATATGTGTGTGTGTGTGTGTGGTGTGTGTGAATGGTTGACATTATCAGGTGTAATTTCGATGTTCGTTCCAATTTATAGATATTTCAAAGTTTGTAACGTTTGATGTTATTTTTTGTTTCTTTTTCTTTTTTATTTTTTCTTTCTTTTTTTTTTTCTTTTTTCTTTTTTAGAGAGATATGGAGAGAGATCAGAACAATCACGTTGATAATTTACACGATGATAAAATAGATCATAAAATGAGTAGAGATTACCGCAATATGGGACATCATCCAGCCATGCTTCATTTACACTCCGGCATTGAACACTTAAGTAATGTCGACGTAGAGGTAAGAATTTTATTTCGTCTTATATATATATCCACGATCGTATTTCTCTTTATGATAGATATAAATAAATTTAAAAATTTTTTCAGGTTAAGTTGGCAAGAGACGTAAGAGGTTCTTTAGGTTTAGGATTATCCTTAGAATTATGCGTTGTCTGTGGAGACAGAGCAAGCGGTAGGCATTATGGAGCTATAAGTTGCGAAGGCTGCAAAGGTTTCTTTAAACGCAGTATTCGTAAGCAATTAGGTTACCAATGTAGAGGAAGTAAAAGTTGCGAAGTTACCAAACATCATAGAAACCGTTGCCAATATTGTAGGCTTCAAAAGTGCCTGGCAATGGGTATGAGAAGTGACTGTAAGTAAATACAATTCCTTTAATAATTTATTAAGATATCTTTCTTGTATCACATTATTTTGTGGGGATATAATAAATATGATACAGCTTGGGGTGTTGTAGCCGTTCAGCACGAACGAAAACCAGTATTAGGAGAAACTGCTGGAGCAAAAGTTGGGAGTCGTAGTCCCAGAGTCAAACCAGAACCACAACAGCCTGTTCCTGAAGCTCCTCAAACTTGGGAACAGCCTGAAAGTCCTAGTATGGAAGACCAAAGCAGCGACAGCGATTTAAGCGATGCTTTGACGTTAGCCAGGGAACGTTTATTAATATCTCATGCATTGGATAGTATGGCTAAGCTTATTGGTGATGTACGTTTTGTTTATATATATACGTGAAAATTAATAGACATATACTTTGGAAATAAAAATAGTACATTGTATTTTTTTTTTTTTTTTTTTTTTTTTTGTAGAGTGTTAATGGTTCCAGTGAACCAGACGAAGAATGGACGGGTCAATTAATCTCGGAAAGGCATACATTGTTTGAACTGAGAGCACCTAGCCCTGCTCCTGCATACTTATCTATACATTACATCTGCGAAAGTGCAGCGAGGTTATTGTTTTTGTCTGTACACTGGGCAAGAGGGATTCCTGCTTTTCAAGCCTTACCGTAAGTAATTGATTGATAAAAAAAGTATCTAATACGCAAAAAAAAAAAAAAACATTGAATAAAAACCGAGTGTGACTTTTACAGATCAGAGATTCAAACTACACTTGTGCGTAGCTGCTGGGGACAATTATTTACGTTGGGTCTTGCACAATGTGCATATACTTTGTCCCTTCCTAGTATTCTGACATCCATAATAAATCATCTACAAGCTAGTATCGCACAAGAAAAAATTACCGCTAGCAAAGTGAAGTCCGTTACAGAACATATATGCAGATTGCAAGACTGTGTAAGTTCATTACACAAATTGCAAGTAGATTCCGTCGAGTATGCCTATCTTAAAGCCTTAACGCTCTTTAGTGCAGGTAAGACTATTGAATTAAATTAAGATGATGAGAGTTTTGTTTAATTTATTATTCATTTTTTATATTGTTAATAGATAATGTACTGGCTGGTATTTGGCGTAAAAAAGTTGAAGTTCTACAAGAAGCAGCGTGGACGGAATTACAACAACGAGTAGGATCTGATAGATTACCTCGTCTTTTATTAAAACTTGCACCTCTTCGTTCGATTAATCCTAGAGTGTTAGAAGATCTCTTTTTTGCAGGTCTTATTGGTAGGGTAAGCGTAGCTAGTGTAGTGCCTTATATTCTGACTATGCAAGATTGTAAACCAGAACCTGAAAGTCACATGGGGTGACAATTACTCTTAGTGCAATGTTGTAAGTCGTGACCTGAAAAGGTGATATATTTATAAATTATCACAGGATGCTTATATAGTATATTTTTATATAAGGATTAAAAAAGAAGATCTATAGAGCAAAATGTATTTTTATATCGTGCAGATAACAGTTATTAAGTATCTTCCGATTGTAAAAAGAAAACATTTATTTGTGATATTCTCAAATATATTGTAATAATATGTTGTGCAAAACTAACTGAACTTTTGCAATAATTGTTTAGTATCCGTAAATTAATTATTTTGAAATACTACTTAAAGTAAGAGTGCCTTGCAATAATCTATATTTTAACATCAATCTTGTATGCTATATGCTCTATAGCAACTTCTTCTAAACTTGAGGTATTGTATGTTACATATTCATATTTTTTAAGGCAATATTATTTCATAACTTATTATTAGTAAGGGCATTGCCTCTTACCAAAGTAGTAGTTAATTTGTATTTTATGTTATAAGAATTACAATTTTATTTTATTATTAAAAATTTTCAAAGCAATTTCTCTCTTATCACATAATTTAATAAAGAAATTTCAAGTGAACACAAAAAAAAAATACTACATAATACATGATATCGGAGAAGTTCATATTTAAATTCAGATATTTTCTTTTCTCAAATATTTTCTAGATATTTAATGGTTTGTCTGTGTCACACAGGTCATTACGAATTTTTAATCGAAAAATTTCAATATTATTATTAAAATTTTAATATTGGCAAATCAAAACGTGTGCCACTCGAACTGTTAAAAAAAAAAAAAAGAAAAAGAAAAAGAAAATTTTTTGTAGATATTGTGATTGAATCAAACAAGGAACTATGAAAGTGATCTAAATCATTGAGAATTTAAAAAGATATATTTCAAAACATATAAGTTTTAAATAATTCAAATTCAAGAGATCAATATATCTCAAAACAAAAAATATATGACTTAGATCACTTTCATAATCACTGGCTCATATACGGTTCTCTTATTCGTATAAAAATAAGTGACTGATGAGACTGCATTTTTTGCAATATAATTTTTTTTTTTTTTTTTAAATCTATAACAAAATGTTCTCGCAATATATTTTCATAACATAATGTAAGAACAATTTTCTCTGAAGGTTCTTTGTTTTTTAATTCTTTACAATTATCGCAAAGTTCACACGAACTACGTACATTGAATAAGTAGATTATTTTGTTTATAAAAGAAACATACACACACACACAGAATACACACACAGTGTTTTATTATTTTCATATATACATATATATATATTATATGTATATATATATATATATATATATATATATATATATATATATGTATGTATATGTATATATATAGTATTCTTATGAATAGCATAAATACTTAATGTAGGATTAAGAGAATTAGTGAATCACATATGTATTTACTTAATTACGTGTAAAAAATTTCATATTTTATTATTACATAATTGTCAAGCGAACAATCATATATCAAAATAGGCATAATTATAAATATTTTTATAAACATTATTTACACTTATCTTTTTGAAAAATTAAGGTCTATTTCTTTTCTTTAAGATGAAAATAATATTTTAGATTTATAGAATATTTTTAGTAGACAGGGTGTTAAATATCATAATTGGAGAAATATTTTCATCGAGAAATAAAGTCATAAAATATATTTTGAAAGCTCTATACGTATCAATACAATTTGTAATATACGATAGGCTTATTGTTAAATTATTCATACCATTAATGATGTCAATAATTACCTATCTTGATAAAAGAATGTTATTAAAACAATTGGATACAAAGTATTATATGACTACACTTCATAATATAGTATTAATAATTAGATAAAATGAGTCAGTATTGAAAATTAAAATAATTATCTGACATATTCTTATATAATATTAAAATATGTGAAATTTAACATATACAATTACTTTCATGCGTTGTGAGATGTTGAAACAATATATCTTTATTATTAATTAATTGATAGACAATAAGAAGATTAATGAGGCAAAGCCAACAACAATGTATATATAAGAATGTGCCTATATATATATATTTATATATATATATATATATTTATATATATATATATATATATTTATATATATATAAATATTTATATCGGTAAAAATTTTGTATTTAATACACGTAAGTAAGTAAGTGAGTAAGTAAATAATTAACTAACTAATGAATTAACTAACTAACTAACTGACTAAAAATATAATTTTAAGATCAGAGAGACCTGAAATATTCGCGTTGCCTGTGCTCTCGTTTCTTTTGTTTTTTTTTCCTACGTTGATAAATTTTCTTTGTAAATATATACATATATTAAACTATACATGTTCTCTCAAGTATATATTAAAATCATAAAAGAAAATAGGCGGATATTTGATAAGTGAAAGAAAAAGAGGAAATAAGAAATAAAGTAAGAAAGAAAGAAAGAAAGAAAGAAAAAAAAATTCAATAAAGTTTATATTATCTAATAAAGTAGCCGTATTGTATCGTTCGTGCTATTTGACGGCTTTCCTTCCTTTGAATTTATCGATAAAATAATGTAACGCGTTCGTGATCGTCTCATATCGCAATTATATAAAAAGAAAAAAGCCTGAGATAATACGTATATATATATATACATATATATATATATATATATATATATATATATATATGTACATATTATGTTAGGTATACGTAGTATGTACGAAAAAAAAAAAAACTTGGTCAATAATATCCATTATACCTTGGAGCAAGACCCGTCACGTGATTCGAATTTTCGCTCGAATTTTTCACGTTGGGAATGACGCTATAGACTCTTGGAAGTGAAAGTTCTACGCGTCGTGAGAGGGAAAGAAGAAAGAGAGAGAGAAGAGGGGTGGGGGAAAGAGGTAGTATGATCGTAAAAATACCATCGAATGAGTGAATAAGTGAGTGAGTGAGTGAGTGAGTGAGTAAGCATGTAAGTAAATAAATGCATAGAAGGAGAACGACTCCGAAGAGGGAGAAGAGGTGTAAGTAGTGAGGTAGGTGAGAAACGGAGAGAGGAAAGTAAAACTCAGAGTGAGGAACCCTATTGTCGTCAGGGGTCTTGCCCTGTATAGATACGGCCCTGCGATCTGTGAGTCATATCCTAAGATTGCCTGTAGAGGCGCCTCGAAACCACTGCCGTCTCCCCTCTCTCCCCACTCCAACTCCCCTTGTTCTCCTATTCGTCGTCATCATTGTCGTTCAGTCATCTCTCTCTCTCTCTCTCTCTCTCTCTCTCTCTCTCTCTTTCTCTCTCTTCCCCCCACCCCACTTCCTACAGCGTATGCGCATGCATATGTGGGTTTACTATGTATGTGCGTATACGTTTATGTGTACTTTGTGAATCGTTTTTTCGTGCGCGAAGAGAGACGACGAAGACGAAGACGAAGACGAAGACGACGACGACGACAACGACAACGACGACGACGACGACGACGACGATTCTGAACTTGTAGAAGTGGTGAGCGTGGAGATTCAACGAAGTATCATTCGGTAGTCAGTACCGGTCACATCGAGAACAAACGACGATTACGACGACGACGACGACAACGACAACAACGACGACGACGACGACGACGACGACGACGAAGACGGTGGTGGAGTTCTATTATAATATTCCCTTTCGCGCGTACACGCGATCATGAAAAGAAAAGTGTCGAATATATTTTGAATTGTTTCTCTCGTCGATAAAAACAAAAAAGAGAGATAAAAAAAAGAGAAAGAGAAAGATAGATAGAGTGAGAGAGAGAGAGAGAGAGAGAGAGTCCGAGAAAAGGAAAGAAAGAGAAAGACTATCGCGCGGGAGTCGGCATTAGATCATTTCTTTTTTTTTCTTTCTTTTTTTTTTTATTTTTTTTTCTTTTTTTTTGTTTTAATTCAATTTATTACTTCACTCGTCAAGTGAACAATTTCTCGTGAAAGGACTTTCAAGAAAGAAGTAAGAAAGAAGAAGGAGGAAGGATTGAACTTGTTTCGGTCGGTACCGTGCAGGTAGACAAGTTCGTTTCTCTTAAGGAAAAGCAAAGAAAGAAAGAAAAAAAAAGAAAATAATAATAATAAAAAAAAAAAGAAAATAGAAAAAATTTTATCAGATACAATCGAGGAAATAATATCACACGAATTTGTATCTGTTTTCATTCTTAAAAAAGAAAAAAAAATAAAAAAGAAAGAAAAAAAAAGAAAAGAACGAGATGATATACGAGCGTTCGTCGTCGTCGTCATCGTCATCATCGTCATCATCGTCATCATCGTGTAATACGTGTACGTGCGTGTTTCTTGTATGTGTTCGTATACGCGGGCGCGCCTTTCATCGTAACAAAATAGACGAATAAATAAATAAATAAATAAATTGATCGATCGATCGATCGATCGATCGATCAATCGATTAATCGATTAATCGATATATATATATATAAATATATCAATAAGTTAATCGACGAAGAGAAAAATAAATATACTCTTTGCGCGAGTGTGTATTCGTTTGTTGTGTTGTGTTATTTCCTTCGTTCGTTCGTTCGTTCGGTTTTTTCCTCCCTCCCTTTCGATCGATTTATTTTTTCATTTGTTTCTTTTTTTTTATTTTCTTTTTATTCTTCTTCCCATCTTGATCGATCGATTCAATCGAAGATCTGCAAAGTGCAAGTACGTAAAGGATTGTTATGAGTGGATTACACGTCATTTGAATTGTTTTCCCATAGAACGAATTTTATTAATCGATGAACTCAAGTGAAACAGTGAAATATTTTCTATTATTGCAAGAACGTGAGATGATGCCAGCCACAACGAAGTTATCCTTTTAATTTACATCTGTCGGGAAAATATCAATTTTTCCAG